ACCAGTGATGATGTCAGTAACAGGGGTCTCTATCCTCTATCACCCACGTGGGTGCCTCAGATTGAGTGCCCTGGTCCAGCTTTGGCTGGGTTGCTGAGAGCTGCTGAGGACTCTGCTGGTGTAATCTATTCTAAACCTTTCCTTTCACTTTCACTGGTAGACGGAAAGCCAATATGTGATCGCTAATATACACATTTTAAAAATTCAACAATAGGAAAAAAAAACCACAACTAACTACAAAATTCACTGGCCATCTTTAGAGCCCACTAGGGGACCAACTCTTATTTTGAAAACTGGTAAATAAAGGAAAAGAATCAAGCAGGTATCTTTTTCTCATACACAATCTGTTATTTCAGAATAACCAAATCATAGATGGTACAAGAAATATTTCCGAGTAGGAATCAAACAAATGAAGAATATTACCATCTTACAACTCCTGAAAAAGACAACAAAGTAACTTGCCTCTGGGATGGAACGGAACCATACATTAACCGCTCTTGCCAAAAGTGTTCAAACTTGGACCTGACCTTAGGACACAGCCCGTTAAGCTGCCACTGCCATGCCATCATTGGACACTGGATCTGCTCAGCTTCCAGTTCAGCTGCCTGCTAATTCTGGGAGGCAGCAGAGAGGGCCTAAGCATTGGGGTCCCTGCCACTCATGTGCACACCTGATGGAGTTTCAGCCCCTTGGCTCTGGCCTGGCCCAGGGCCCCACTACTGGCAGCCATTTGGGAAGTAAACCAGGAGATTAAAGCATGCTCTCTCTCTCTCCCCCCCTATTTTTTCTGTTGTTCTGTTTTTCAGGTAAATAAGCAAAATCTTTTAAAAGTTCAAGTCTGAACCAGATGAAGGCTCCTGATCAATCCTAATTTAAGAAACTATTCCGTGTAGGGAACAAAGGAATACTGAAATGATCCCACAAGGAAGCCATCAACATCCAGGCTGGGGAACGTGCTATAGGACAAACACACGACTCTACTTTCCAAAAGATCAGCTGCAAGGAAAAAAACAAAGCACAAACCTGTGGCTTAAAAGCAATGCGATCTGGGCAAATCAACATGTTGTAACATAAAGCTGAAGACACAATCAAGTATATTTGAACACTGGCATGATATACTTGGGTTACTAACTTTCAGGTGCCCTATGGTGTGCTGCTTTTTATTTGAAAAAGTGCCTTCCTATATTTCACAGCTACATATGAAAACATCTCTGAATGAATTAGATGATAACTAGGATTTGCCTCAAAGTAATTTTGTGTTGGTAACAGTACAGAGACTGGACAGGGAACAAAACCAAATGACTGGTCCAATGTTGCTGCTAAGTGTGGGGACCCCATGCACATATGATTATCAAAGTTATTACATAATTCTCATTGGTCTAAAAAATTTCTATACTATAATTTGTACTTCCCCCATAATTTGAAAGAGATGACAGAGACAGAATGATACTGCACAGAAGCTGTACGCAGGCCCACTGTCGTAAGGGCATGCAGGAAATGCCATAGGCCTGGGTGGAGAGGGAAGGTTCGCACACCGTTAGGCCCAGGAGCACAGCAGCGACAGCTAATCTCAAAAGGTGCTGCTGGGTGGGGGACTGGAGTTCATGGGACCCTTAGGGTTCTGAACAATGGGGAGACACTTCCTTCTGTTCACAGTCAAAAGGGGACGTGGCAGGGGTCCTCAGAGAGCAGGCAGTCGGCACTTGCAATTTATAAATGATGAAGAACTGACAGAATCTAGTAGCTCACTGTTTATATGGGGATGAAAGGAGAGGCCGGTAACCACACACAGCAGGTTATGCAGAGGAGTCCAGCGCAGGTGGCAGGGAAAGCCCCTTCAGGTGACAGATGTTGGGCTGCCTACCTGGGAGCAGAAAGCAGGCGTGACACATTTGCAGTGTTCCCTAGCCGCTGAGTTCAAAGAGGGTGATGGGGCAAAATACTTGTTCTTTTGATGTCTATAAATCAAAGTATAAACCCTATGCCAAAATAGTTTAACATCTGTGCTTTTTTTTTTCTTAAATTATTAGTTCAGAAGGCTGGAAACACAAGAAATAGTAGAAAGACATGCAAATATTACCTTAGAAACCAAACATTTCATCTTGGAAAAAAATTAAACTATATAGAAATATACATGATACGGACATTTTTTTTTTAAATTTCTAAGCTAAATTTGGAAGAACGCAGAGGAAATCTTCAAACAGCTGCAGTACAAAGCCCCGTGTAACTGTAGCTGCATGCTTGGGACCTTTGCACAGGGCTGAATCAGACTGGGGAACAGGAAAAGAGAACCGACCAGACACTTCACTCCACAAGGATTTTACTAGGGTGGCCACTCACACAACAAAGCCACTTGGCGTCTGACGCAAAACAAAAAGTCCAAAGCGGCAACACTTTGCTAGGTAAAACTCCGTAAAGGTTGAAGAGAGTTCATGAGAACAAGATTCTGAAAACGTAAAGATTTCACAACAGAAAATCTCCATTCATGATGACATCCTGATCTCCCTGTTCAAAATTCAGCTTCATGTCTTGGCACAACGTTGCAGCCGACACTGTTAAGAATGTTACCTTCAAGATGAATCATGCAAGAAACAGAGGGCGAGAATATGCACCAGGCTTCGGAAACATGTGCAGAACTGGGAATTAATTTTGATATTTGTTGCATTATGTGAAGGGGATACACAGCTAGCCTGTAGCAGGGAAAAAGTCCAACCAACAACAACATGAACAAACAAGGCAGGAATCAGACACCAGGTCCCCCGCACACAGGTCTGTCGGAACTTGGCCTTCACAACATTTTATTTTCTTTGACTTCACATTAGCCAAATGATCATCCTCTCCCCCACTGTCCCCATGCAGGTAACTTCAGCGATCTGTGAGGCCGCTTTGCAATCATGAGCCCATGGGTGGACAGGAGCAGCCACAGCCTGCTCGCTGCGCCTGGACCCTGGACAGGCAGGCCTACTGTCGATTCCACCCTTCGGCTACACGTGTGCAGAGGAGGGTGCCATGCTAGAATCCTGGAATTTCCAGAATTAGATAAAAGGACTTCAAAGGACAACAAGATAAGCAAAAGAAGGTTTTCAGGTGGAACCCAATTTAAAAGAAAAAAAAAAAAAAAAGCAAAATTCCCCTCCTTTCCAGATGCTCCTTCTGTTATCTTTTTAACATCTTCCAGAGATCGCATCACAAATAAATAAACCGGGTAAAGCAAGCTCTGCAGAACACTTGGAACAAGGCAATGATAAAAATGCTCTGACTTCCTAACGCATCCAGGATATGAGAAAAAAGATGAGAGGCACATTGGTGTGAGAGCTGACCTCGTCTGGGGCCCCTTCCTGCTCTAAAACAGGCTGCTTCTGACAAAATCAGTCAGATCACACAACATCTCTTCTGCCAGCTGTGGAGGAGAAAATCCAGCCTGGGAAGCGGCGTGCTCTTCCTGCCAGGAGTACACTGGAACTGTTAAATGGCGACGCACAGCCACTAAGATGGGAAATGCTGTCTACTGGCAACTCTTAATGACTACCCTCAGACTAACTTCTAGAGCCACTCAGGAAAGCTAGAAGACCCCTCTCCCCCTCACTCTCCCCAACAGGCTGCAGTTTAATTTTACTGAAGAACTTCAACGATAGAACGCTCCCCTGTGTATATCCATCCGTAGACATTTATAAGTGACAACTATGTGCTTAAGAGACAGTTCCTATTTGCACTTGGGGCCAACTGATGTGAGCCGCTGGGTGGAGTGTGCTTCAAAGCTGAGGTTCTGAAATGTGGGCACAGGGCTGGAACGCGGGTCTAGCCCTTGCAAAGGAAAGATAATTCAATAGAAGGAAACACCTCGCTGTGTAAACCTTAGGCTTCCAAGGCCATGACTCCATATCGGTTAATATTTCCAAAGTGCAGTTTAACAGCAGCCAACAGACCACCATTTCCCATCCTTGTGGCTGTCAATCGCCATTTAACAATTCCAACCTAAGGCTTTCACGCCAACCAGAGGAGGGCTGGTCACCAAGTTCTCACTCGTCTGCATGGACTTCATCTGTACAGATGAGAATCCAAATTAAGTTGCACGGATGTCTGAACATAATTATGAGTTTCGAAGTGCATGCAGTATGTGTGCTAAGTGAAGATTTCACCACCTCTTCTCACTCAGCATTTAACTACAACAGGAATATGTTCGACCAACAGCTGGGTGAAAATAGTAGTACACTCTCAGTGAAGCGAAGGTTAGCAAACTTAGTAGACGAGAAATCCAGTGACTCATATCTTTTTCTTTTTCACTCAGAGCATGCCAAAAAGAATAAAGTTATTTATCCATGTTCATCATAGCCAAAGGGGCAGAGAGAGCTTTTCACACCTATTTTCAAGCAAAAATCAAACCCAGCACTTCTAACAAATTGAAGTACAGAAATGTTTTTTCCTAAGACCTACAAAAATTGTATTTGGGTGCATGCATTTTTAATGAGGACTTAATGATGCTTACTTAACGGCTCCGGGAGGGGACAAGTGAGAAAGCTGTGAACAAAAGTTTCAACGCACAAACACAGCTCTTGGCAACACCTAGAGTCTACAAAATCTTAGGGAAGGGGCGCATAAAATCTAACAGCAAAATAAAACGAGGAACAAGCTAGGGAAAGGTAGAGACAAAAAGATGGGCCAAATACCCTTTTTAAAAATCCATTCTCTGTCAAGTTAAAAATCTTGCGGCTTTGATGAGAATACACTGGTAAAAACTTGTGGCGACATCTGCCGCGGGGTCCCGTGCAGGAACACATGTTTTCACACACACACACACGCCCCTCCGCTGACAGGGATTCCCAGGACACCAGCGGGGCCCCTTAAGTGTTAACAGCAGAGGCCTGGCTGCGACCAGGAATCTGGTCCCCATTTCAGAGGGCTGCGGTGAGCGCGGCCATAAAACCCGGGGACACGAGCGTCTGCTCGCCTCCCCCCGCGACGCCCACAATTAGGGGCTGCTGGCTGGCATTCCATTTAACTGTCAAACGGCCACCGGTGGCAGCCCCGCAGCCACAAGGAGATGCCTTAAATGAGAAGAACATGTTTCTACATCGCAGTTGAGAAAGTTTGGCTCCGAGCTATGCGCTGATTAATATCAGATCTCCTCCTGCACTCGCCTCTCCACAATCTTGTCACATCTGGCTGACAAATCCTTAGCAGCTTAGGCAAAAGCCGGGGCGGTAGGAACGGGGCGGGGGCGTGCAGGGTGGGTTGGAGAGTCGGCCGGGCTCAGGGGTCCTCCCGCTCGGGGTTACCGGGTCGGGGGGACCCCGCGACCGCTCCTTCCGCCCGCCCCGGGTGACCCCTTAGCTGCGCCGCTGGCAGTCAGGCGCGCGACGTGGAAGCGACCCGGCGCTCCCAAGACGGGAGCGCAGCGCTCGCCAGGGTCCGCAAACTGAGATTTTTCGGGGACCCCAGGGCACCGCGAGGGAGGACAGGGGGACCCCCCCAGCCGGCTCGAGCGCTTTCCAGGCAAACACCTGGCTCGGCTGCCCCAGCTCACTTCCCGTCGATTGCAGGTCAGTCACCTCCAGGCGGCGGGAGGCGGCTGGGGTCAGGAGCTTCGCGGCCGGGACTCGGGCGCCCTCAGCCCGCTCCAAGTGCTCCCGCCGCGCCTAACTGTCCCAAGGGCAAGCGGTGGCGCTGACAAAATCCGCCCCGTTCCCGCCAAGCAATCGGGACCTGGCCTGCCGGATGTCAACGTGCGGGGGTAAGGAAGTTATACATTAAGAAAAAAAATCATCCCCTCATTGCCACTTGCCCATCTCCACAACACTCCTCACACTTAAGGCTGCCAGAAAGTTACCGCACACTTAGTTCCCCGGAGAGACGCAATCAAGGCGGAAACAAGGAGAAGAGTGGCTGTCCTGTTAATTTTGAAGTAAAAGCGCGCGGGAGATGGCGCGGGGGTGGGGGGTGGACAAAAAACGGGGTGCCAAGTGTCGCTGGTCTAAACAGTCCCAGCCGTCCTGGTGGGGAAACCTTGGGGTGCTGGCCGCCCCGCTACTCCGGGGCGCTCCAAGCCGGGAACGACGGTCCCTGGAGCCCCCACGCAGGTGGCCTTCGAGGAGGGCCTCTCCGCCACTGCCCCGCTCCAGCCTGGGGTCCCTCGTCCCCCGCCACCTCCGAGCGTCGCCTCGGGTCGCCCCGCGCCCGCGGAGAGCGCCGCCACGCTTACCTCAGCCATCCTGCTGCGGCCTCCGCCGTGCCGGGGCTCCCGGCGCGTCTTCCCGGCCCGGGCCGCCGCGCGTCCGCCCCGGCTCGGCGGGCGCCGCCGCATCCAAGCTCCGACCGTCGGGGCCCGCCGCTGAGAAGTGGGCGGCTCCGCGGGCGCCCGAGCCTCGCCGCGCCGCGTGTGCCCGCCCGCCCGCCCCCTGCGCCCCGGGGGTGGGGGCTCCCCGCCCCCGCCGCCTGCCCTGCGCTCCCCGCCCCGTGCGCCCCGCGCGCCCCGCGCCGGCTGCCGGAGTCGCCCCAAGCCGCCGCCGCCGCTGCTGCTGCTGCACCGCTCGGACAGACGCCCCCCGGCTCCGGGGCCGCGACGAGCGCGCTAAATCACCGCAGCTGATGCGAGGCCGTGGCCCCCGCAGACAGCGGAGCCCTAGCCGGCCGCCGGCGCGGAGGTGTCTGCCCCGGCGGGCTTGAAGGCACTTGTTGGGAAAAGACCCAGACGTGTCAGTGTTTGCCTGTCCCGGGGAAAGGCGAACGCTCTGAAGTTCTCTGGCTCCCATCAGGCCATGATGCTGCCTACCCCGGGGCGCCTGCTGGTCCCACCACCGTGGTCCAGGGCAGAAGGCAGCACCGCGCGCGCCCCCCAGGACACTTTGCGTTCAGAAGAAAGCTTGGCGGTGGCGGTGGCGGTGGTGGAGGGGAAGGGAGGACTTAATGAGCTAACGCCTCAGCCCCACAGGACATAGTGGCTTGACCCTCAGAGTCCCAGTTGCTTCCGTTGTAAAAAATGGGTTTAAAGTTTCGCGTCTCCTACTAGATGCCAAGGATAAAGCGAAATGAAGTGTACGGGGCGGAGGGGTGGAACCACACGGGACCTTGACTCCAGTTCCCCCTACCCGCAGGTGTGTTGGGGGGGTCGGCCCCAGAAGCTGCTTGTGGGGCCTGGGCCCAGAGGGTGGGTCAGCCCCAGGAGATGGCCCACAGCTGCGGAAGCGGCCCCGGGGCAGGGCAGACACCGGAACCTGTGGCAGCGAATCAGGCCCCTTTGTCAGTTCCTCCACAGAGGATTTTCTGGAGACTCTTGTGGGGGGGAGTCCATCCTGGCTTCCTCCTCCCCAATTATCTCCACCTGCCTTGCTGCTGGGTGAGATCTTTGAAAAAGGAAACAAAAGGTTTTCCTTGCATGACCTGAGATTTAAAATGGAGTGAGCTGGTGCAAGTGGGGCAGATCCAGGGATGCCTGGCGGTGGCCCCCTGGAATTCACAGGCAGGCAGCAGGCCCTGGGGGGAAGGAAGGGGGGGTGATGCAAGGTGCAGGAGGAAGAAAATGAGGGTGTCTGGGTCAGCAGAGACTCCTGCTGCCTTGCCACAGAGTGGACTCACGTGTCTGGCATTTGGGCCAGGTGGAGTGTCCCTGCTCCGCAGTGTGGGGCCCTGACTTGCAGGGGTGCAGTCACCTGGTCACACGGGGTGGGCCTTGCCCTGTGGCTAACTTCCTTGTGAAGCTTTGCTTTGTTCACTCTTCTTCCAAACTGCTTCCTCAGCCTCCCCCACCCTTTCCTCTTGTTCCCCTGTGAAACCTCAGCCTGGGGGAAGCTTTCGCAGTCCTGCTTCAGGCGCCTTGGCGGTCTTCCCTGGGGCCAAGCACATATTTCTTCTTCTCTTAGGACACTTTTACACAACCTGTTGGGTAGAGTCCTGTCTTCAGCGGGTAGCATCTGTGCCAGCACCAACAGAGCTCCGATTTGGAAGTTAGGTTGACCCAGGCAGAGCCTGTTCCATGGCAGCTGGAAACTGGCCTGCAAAGTCAGCGTTCTTGGCACCCCCCCCCCATCCTCCTCTATAAAACCGGGCATGGAACCCTGTCTCAGGCCAAGTTGGCAGGACTGTGGAAAACAGGGTCTGCTCTGCAAACGTTGGTCTCCTCCTCTTCTTTCCTCTGCTGCACCCAAAACTGATGTTTGGATTCCTTCAATGTGTTACAAGGGGGACCCTGGGTTGCAGTAGTATCAAATGCTCAAACAGGCTCATTAATGGTCCACCATCAGTCTGGTTGAAGAGATGATTTTGGTCGTTCACTTTGTGTTTGGGGGCACCTGAATTTTATTTTATTTATACATATATGTATATATAGTTTCATTTGATTTATTTGAGGAGAAATCCATTGATTTACTCCCCACATTGCTGACCACAGCTGGGGCTTGGTGGGGCCAAAGCCAGGAGCAGGGACCTTAGTTGGGATGGAGGAACTCCACGCTGGGAGCTGCCTAGGGTTTGGCTCATCAGGAAGCTGGGGTGGGCCTGAAGCTGGAACTTTCAAACCCACATAGTGATGGGAGAGTCCCCACACAGGTCAAACACCCACCCACCCAGATCTTCACTAAATAGATAAAAATTGAGACGATTTGAAAGAAGAAGAAGAAAAAAGTCACGGTGCCTTGATATTAAAGAGGCAAACCTGCCCTTTGGAGGCTCAGGGCTTGGTTGGGTTGCCTTGTCCCTGACCAAGGTCTGCTGTGAGCCTAAGCTGAGAACCACGAGTGTTGAGTGGGAAGGCAGGGCAGGTGGAGCTGGGAGAAGTGAAGTCGGTGGCTGTGTGACGGGCACTGCTGGTGATACTGCTCAACAGCATCGATGTCTAGGGCTTCTGTGTTGCCAGATTTCCTGCCAGTGTTTAGCAGTTTTTAAAGAGAGGTTAAAAGTTGGCCAGGATTGCATGTTTTTGTAAATCGAGTGTATGTCAAGCAAAATGTTTGTGAGCGGATCCGGGGCAGGGTATTGTGGCTGCGCACCGTTGGCTGTCAAGTGGTGTCTTCATGAGGCCTGCCCTTGTGTGACGTACGTTGCGAAGGTGCCATAAATACTTGCCTGCCTGTGTTTCAAACAGGATTCTCCAAGATCACACTGAGATCACACACGATGTTTATGTGTTGGATTCCGACTCCACCAACGGGCTTGAAAATATTGTCAATATTTGCACGCCAAGAGATCCCTTCTGGCTGTTCATAATTTTGTTAAACAAGTGGAGGGTAAAACTTTTTTTTTTTTTAATAAAAAAAATACTTTGACTCTCGGGAATCTTTGCATTAAAAAGGAAGGGAAAAAAAATACCCTTTGGCTGTGGAGGTCTGGGTGCTAATGATGGGAACATACTACAGTAGGGCAGACAAGCAGGTATCCTGTGGCTCAGCTGAGTTCAACTCCAGCCCCGGGGGCTGTTGGCGGGAGGAGGGGGTGGAGACCAAACGGGCACAGCAAGGCAAAGGCTTTTGGCAGAGCAGGATGAGCTGCGAGCTACAGCCTTGTCAGTGGCCCTCTCCCGATCAGGACAGTCTCAGGAAACACCAGGAGGCAAGAGTCCCATTCGTGCCGTCACCTCCCGGCCCAGACACAGACACCTGGTGGGGGCAGGTCTGGACACATCAGCACTCCACTCGCACTGGAGCCTGACTAAGCAGCACTTGGGCCAAGCCGGCCCCCCCACGCAGTTGGCTGCTGGGGGTGCAGGCCGGCCTGCCCCAAGCCTGGCATAGCTGTCGCAACTTCCCCTCCACCAGCCCCAGAACTGGCCCCTTAATAAAACAGAGGAGTCAAAAGTGTGCCAAAGGTGGAAGTCAGGGGTTAGGGTGGTGCAGAGACCCGATCCCTGTCCCTCCTTGTCTCATGCCAGATTTGGGGGTTGTTGGAAGGATCAGACAGCCCTGCAGGCCTTGCCACAGGCAGGTCGACGCACCGTGCCACAGGCAGGTCGACGCACCGTGCCTGGCATTTTAGACTCTGGTAGCCAAGATTGCCAAATGTCGAAGAGTGGAGGGGAGGGGGCTGTCAGTGAGGGTGAGTGATAAACACAGGAATAAATTCCAAAGTGAGAACAAAGCCAGGCCTGATTCTAGCTGGTTCTCTGGACATGCCTGCCGATGATGCAGCTTGTGAGACTCAGCAGGGTCCTCTACTACGTGGACAAGTTAAAAGTTCATGATGCCTTTCTCAAGGGTAACACTTGGAGAACGATATTGCCCACGTAGCTTACCCTTGTTTTGGTAAATCAGGGGTGTGTGAAGCTGGCTTCTGTTATGGCCTTTAAACAATTGGCAACATTCACAAGAAGGCTGTGGCCTGCCTTAGAAACAGCTCATTCTCTCATGACCCAGGGAGTGGGAGGATAATATCACAGGTGGACGACTTCTTGGACACTTTATTTGGTACCACAATTACATCTCTGAACTCAAAGAGCTCCGGTTCTTTCTAATTAAAGTGTGGAAGAACTACTTAGCTGTTAAAAATTCCCTTGGACCGGCACTTTGCAGATTCTGTTGATGAGTTGGGGCTGATTTTTTTTTTTAAGGTTTTATTTTATATAATTGGAACAGAGAGGGTAAGAGAAAGAAAGAGAGTGCCAACCTGCTGGTTCTTTCCTAATGACTGCATCTGTCCGGTCCAGGCCAGGCGGAAGCCAGAGCTGGGAACTTTAGATCTCCCACATGGGTGGCAGGGGCCCAAATATTTAGGTCTTTCTCTACTACCTTTCCATGTGCGTTAGCAGGGAGCTAGACCATAACCAAAGCATCCAGAGGCCTTGAACTGTGCTGGGGTGAATTTTATGAGGTCAGGCACTGCTCTAAGGTTGGTGAATATGTGTGAAAAAAAATTTGTGAAGATTCGTTTTGTCTTAGAACATGATATCTTTGGCAAATTTAATGGTCCATTATCCCAAGATGAAGGGGAAAATATTCAGATTACCAGAGCTGACAATTCATTCTACATTTGGAAATTAGGAGAAAAGGACTAAGGACAATGGGCTACAGGGCAGATTTTAAATCCTTAATTATTTACTAGTATCACACTTAATTTTTTTTTAGGTTTCTTTTTTTTAAGGTTTTTTTTTTGTTTTGTTTTTTGTTTTTTTTAGGTTTCTTTAGTATATTTTTAAAATGTTTAAGGTACAGAGAGTTAAGCCACACATGTGATGACAGCATTCCAAAGTAGAGTTCTGGTTTAGGTGCTGGTTGCTCTGCTTCAAACCCTGCTTCCTGCTAGTGCACCCAGGAAGGCAGTAGAAGCTGGCCCAAGTATTTGGGTTTGTACCAACACATGGGAGCAACAGAGGTAGTT